CAAGAGAAGATTACTTAGTGCTTTTGGTTATTAATAGGAGGTATCATCTTGCGCCTTAAAACGGTGGTTTTCAAATCTCGTTCCCTTATCTGCTAATAGATTCTGTGAAAACCTCCTTTCGCAAAGATTGCATGCATAACCGCTATATTCAACGATTCGCTTTTTAGATTGTTTATGTCGAATCTCGAGCTTTCGAGCAACTAGCAGCACAATGTGCAGGCTATTTTTCTAGAGAGAAACCTTCATCTATAACTTCAAAGAGCCGCTCAGAGTTAAGGAGGCAGATTTGAAAACAGAGTTAGGTGCACCTAGTGGTATCCCTCTTATTTTGAAAGATCGAAGCACAAACAAGGGAAGGATATGAAATTCATGATGATGGATACACTTTTTGATGCTGATTTCAAATTTGTCTTCCATATCTACGAAGCGTTTCGTGGAGGAAGCTATGGAATTTTTCTATGCTGAAACTAACCTGCGCGCCTTGTATAATTGCTCTACAAAATCAAATCCAAGCACAAACAACAAGCAGCAGTCACTCTATTATGAAGACATAATTTTTATCAATATTCCGCTTTCACGCTGCAGCTTTGATCAAAATTGAACTTTTGAGCATTTTAAACCAGTTCTGTCAGCCATTTGATAGATAAGCGTCCATAACTTCTTTCAAAGTGCCTCGCAGATATGGAAAACAAGCAGTGCTTTGCGACAGCGCTATAACCTAAAGCTTGTACTGCAATTTTATCGCAAAGAAGTGGTATCCTTGTGTAAGTGGAAACCTAAGTGCAAGCTATCACTTCAAAGCGATAGACTTAAATAAAGATTCTTACAACATTCTTCTTTACATATATGTGATATATCGTATACCACAAAAGGCACTGAAGTACGATCTTGCTTTGAGGACAAGTACTCTTATGTCAGCTACCGCCTGCAGTATTTCTGCCTTATATTTATCCAGCGCCTTGTCCATGGTGTACTGTATACCCGTATTCGGCATTAATCTGACGAAAATAATGGATCGGTCCCAGACAAGATGAGATAGGGACTTTCTCCGTTGCAGGGTCATAATATACGCCACCATACAGACGAGCAGTGTGTCTCAATCTGTCCGGATGACCGTCCAACGACGCAACATGACCACGATGCTCCATTTAGCCCGTTATGCCATTAACCCTCAATAAATATGGGCAATTTGCGTGATTTCCTCCTTGGCCTAGCTTTCAAACTCACCTTCCCCTCCCCGCCCTTATCAGATGGGATGGTTTTGGCCACCTACATCTTTCCATAATCCCCTCCACGAAAACGGTTTTCGCTACTGTATGTGCTGACTTTATACAGGATAGGCGGCTGCAAACTTTAAGAAGTGGTCTACCACTTTTACAGCATATCTATTGCCACCTTTAGTAAGCCCCATTCTAAACAATATACCTATAATCTTGTAGAGTTTCTTATAGGGTTTCGACATCACAGTCGGCTTCAGTGGTGGCGTTAACACCTGCCGTGGATTGCGAACAAAACAGTTTTGATACGTCT